CCTTTACTCATTATAATTACATTTTATTAATGCATAAATCTATTCAGATCATCCATTAATATCATCTGCCCATTCTGTTTTATAACTCTTCCATAAATTTATAATAAAACAAGAAACCGCGTCTTTTTACTCTGTTATTGCAGATAGTGATTAAAAATAGTGACTTAACCAATTTATCCCTTTCCATATTGAACTGTTGTCCTTTGCCCTTTTTATCCCCCTGTAATCCATTCCATTGGTCTTTTACCAACTGATTTTGTAAGCTCATCTTCTGTGTTGTGGAGCACTATATTTTTTTCTGAAATTTCAATTAATAAAATCCTTTGTTTCAGCTTCTTTATTACTTCATACCCCTGTAAATATAAACATGGACTTATGCAGTAGCAAACTATTCTGTAACAAATTCAGCATTGCCAAGCTTTCCACATGACAGACAGGTAAAAAAAAAAAAAATCAGGGATTTCTTTCCAAAACATCTTGGTATAACATTGCAGTCTCTTTCAATACTGTGTTTCTTTGCCTATTTCTCATGCTAACATGTTTCCTAAAATATCTATTAAAATTGGACTTTGTACAAATACATGTAACGTTGCCTAGCAATACCTTAGTGTTTTTATAAACTATCAAGTCAGGGCAGTGCTAAAGCCATTGTGCATTCCCAATATCAATTCCTAAAGTCACAGGGAATTGAAACAGAAGACTGAAAGCAGCATTGCTTTCTGTCTGACAAACAAAAAGGAAAAGAATGTGGATGAATGTTTTACAAGACTCCGGGCCTCATGAATAAGAGGTCCTGTCAAGTATAAACTTAGTCAAGGCATGGTAACAAGAAGATTACGTTTGGATACTTCTTTTTCATCTTAGCCTGCACTAGCAGGTTATAATAGTCCTGCCTTTGGATGTGATCATTTTTTGTTAGGCTTAGTGTAACTTGGTGGACTTCTAGGATTTCTGCCTAGACAGATTATAAATTTATCAGCTAGTTTTCCTTGCTTTTATTATCGTATTTCAAGTGTAACTCAAATATTTTACCTCTCTCTCCTTTCTAGGAAAAAATAGCACTGTATCTTCTATGAAACCTCTTTCTTTATAGACAAATTCCTCTTTCATACAGGACAAAGACGTTATTCCAGTCTGTAATCAATTCAGCCATACAATATCTACCGGTAAATTAAAAGAAGTGCAATAACTGAGATATGGGTGCAATAACACTGACAGCAGAACGAACATTTTCCTACTAATGCCCCCAGCAAATCAGATGTACTTGGAAAAGAGACTGCTGTTTCTATGGAGAAAAAAACAAAACAAAAACACACACCTATATGCATGCTCACACATAGCATCCTCAAAATCTAAACTGGTAGTCCATCAGATTGTTTTTATAACAGATACTCCTTCTATGTTCTGTATGAAGGTGTTCCACTCCTTCAGTGTGAAGCTAATACGTGGTGTTAAGCTATCTAATCCTTACTTTCATATTTCTTGCTTCAGCTGACATGTTTTCTGCTAGTCTCTTAAATTTTCACTGTTTGCTCTCACACAAGGTAGTAGTACTAAACCAAACAAACAGCCCTTGCTCAAAATAATTGAGTACATTTTATATTTATATAAGATATATAATGTTCATATATATATATATATATGAACAGCACAAAGATCCAACTGCAATACAAGACAGGGTTTCACTCATGAGTGTCAATCACAGCAAGGGAAGGACAGGGCAAGAACAAGTGCTTATGGATGTCAGAGGGAGCATTAACAAAAGCATAGTGACCAGACTGAAGAAAATTATGATATTACTCCATATGGTAACATGAGGTATTTGTCTTGAAAACTATGCCTAGTTTCAGAACCCTGGAATACAAAACACTGAGGAACCACAGAATGGCTTGGGTTGGAAGGGACCCCAAGGATCACCAAGCTCCAACCCCCCCCTTCCACAGGCAGGACCACCAACCTCCAGAAAGAGGAGGAGACCTTTGAAGGTCAGATGATGTATATTTGCCAGATAGAGTTGCTGGGACAAGTAAAAAACCACGCTGTTAATGTATCTGATGTATCCAAGCACCTAAAATTAGATGGAAAATATTCAGGTCTTGATAGCTGTTTGCCATTTAACAGACAATCCTAGTGGCATGTTACTGAGTGCATATGCATCACTGAGATGCACTCAAATATGTTTTCAAGATCCTTCACTATTTCTCTTGCAGGAAGCTGAAAGCTCCGAGTGCTCTTCAGAGCAAAAATAGAACAAAGACTGGTTTAATATTTCTTGTCCTTTCTATACGTTCAACTTCCAATCCTCATTAAAATTATGTTTAAAATGTTTTTAAATGTTTCAGTTCTTAGATTGTTTTCATGATTGCCATAAAAATCAATTCAAATTTGCAGTAACATACATAGCTCCGTAACAGTCAAGAGAAGTTCTTATAAAAAGAAACCTATGCATCAACAATTGAGATTTATATATTTTCTTCACATGTCCTATCGTAGCATACAGAAGAAAAAAAAAGTTACAAGAGAGCTAAAAAAAAAAAAGAGCATCTGAAGAAAGAGTCAATTTATTTTAACCAATTTATATAAGGAAACTTGAGATAATAAGGTGAGAAAAAAAAAAAAAAATCAGGCAAAACCAGTTTATACGAACTTCAATTACCTTAGAAACCATACATATACTCTATTTTGATCCTTATTTTTTGCATTTGTCAGTGGATCTTTTTATTAATAAGGACAGCACATAGGGATATAAACAGTTGACAATAATCATGCCCACATCACATTAAACATTGTCAAGCATGAAAAACTTCAAGTGTCTACTTTTTAAACTGTTTAAAATATACACTATTGAAAAAATCATTATGTTAGAATCTCACAAGCTGGTCAAATCAAAATTGCCAATATTGTTTTAAATAAGTGTTGAACTGGGGAGGCACCTCACAGTGTGGCTCTGCCAGCAGGACCTGCCATGACTCAGACTGAGACTGAGATCACAGACCAGCAAACAGGGTGCTCAGTGGATGACAGGAGAGCAGCAGATGTTGTTTATCCTGGCTTTCGTAAGACTTTGACACTACCTCCCATCAGATCCTCATAGGCAAACTGATAAAGGATAGACTACATAAGAGAACAGGGAGACTGAAAGCTGGGTGCACACCTGGGCTCGATGGTTGGGATCAGCATGAGGTCCAGCTGGAAGCAAGTCACCGCTGGCATAGCCCCGGGGTTGACACTGGGGCCAGTGTTGTTCAACAATTTCGCTAATGTCCAGGATAACGAGGCAAAGTGCACCCTTAACAAGTCTGCCGTTGCTACAGAACCAGTGAGAGCAGCTGAAACACCAACTGCTTGTAATGCCACGCAGGGTGAGTTGCTTCCTGATGTCCAAGACTCTAACCAATATATCAGACTAAGACAACATATTTGTTTCACCAATCAAATTGTTGTGTTGTTCACTACAGTATTATCTGTATCACCATATATCCCTCACTTCAATGGATTTTTTTTTGCCACTGCTCCAGTCAGTATTCAAGCAGTAATGTTACCTTATCCATAAGAGTCTAGGGGGGAAGAAAAAAAAAATCATCCTTTTACTTTCCGTTCTGTTGCAACAAAGTATTGAAAATTTCTCTTTAAAACTGTTGAAAAAATGAGAGGAACCAAGAAAACGTCACTGAGGAAAGCTAGAACATCTCATTCACGAGGAGCAGGCACCTGTGCACTGACCCAATTAGACATTCAAACACTTGTCACTCTGGAGCTGGCTGGTTGTCACTCATCCAAGTAGCTCCGGGGGGCCATTGTATGGTGGCATTCCCTGACCCAGGAACTAGAGCTATGGAAGCAATGAGGGCACAGGGATAGGGTGCCAGGATCCTGGGGAGCAAAAGCAGCCAGCAGGAAAGCCAAAAGAACCTTAGAACTTCCTTAACTTGATTACCATCCAAAAAGCCTTTCAGAATCTTCAATGGTTATCTTTTATTCAGAGCAGTCTAGTTTCAAAATCTTACAGTAACAGTCCTCTTTACACAAAGCAACATTTAACTCTTGAGTGACTGACACACAAACCATTTCAGAAGAGATCTCTGAAGCAGAAAAAAAAATCTTCGTTGGAAGGAAAGGATATACTAACATTACTTTTAGAAACAAAACCAGTACAGTTTCAGCATCTACCCACTTTTCTGTTTTAAACCATGTACTGACGCTGTCAGCTCGAATACACAAATGAGGCCTAACATACTGCAGCCGTCCACGCCTACACACTATTGAAGATAAAAGGTCTGTTCCAGTGTATACAATACCATATTCAAGACACAAAATCAGATTTTTTTTTTTTTTCAATAAATTCAGATACTAAAACACAGATGACTATTCAGCAGCTACTAGTAACTTCAAGTAAGGCTACCTCTGTTCTCATGCGGAAAGACTTATGCATTTCAAATACAAGAGCAGGAAGGGGCTGAGATTGAGAAAAAAAAAAAAATCAAAGCTTATTTCAAAAACTTCCAAAACTGGCATTTTAATCTTAGGAAAAAACTGTGAGACTGAAGAATTCAGAATATCCCTATCACCAAATATTTATAAATATTTATGACCTATGCTAGAAGGAAAATCTCTTTGGTACAAAAATACTTCAAGTCTCCCTTAAATTCTGTTTCTCAGACTGATTTGTTTACTAGCTGACTTGTCACGACACCTGTTCTCTCCAGCAGGGAACATCAGAGATGATTAAGCCTACTTTCAATTATATGAAGCTGTGAAATAATTTTAGCTGTTTTTCCAGTTAATATATTTGATTTGAGCAGTTCAGGTAAAAACTGTGCTGACATTTTAAAGTTTATATTATTTACAACCTGGTAACCCAAACAAACATGGAAACGCAGCAAAATCCAGAGTGCATTATATGACAATTCCAAAGTTGAAACTTTCAACATAGAAACTCAGTGTCAGTAGCTTTTTTCCTCTAAATTTAGAGATTAAAATTTGAAGGAAGAAGTTCTTACCTTTGTACAGAAAAACTTCTAAGCAAGATGATCTGTGTATTTACTTTCCCTTCTCTCTGTTGTATAGCTGGTCTTTTGCCTTACTGCCTTGCCTGCAAAAAATGATGTAGAATCTGAATTATTACACAGGCCAATAATCACATTTGCTGTTAAAATACAACAAATACACCAGATATGTCCTCATAATGGTGCAGTGCTAAAACCTGTATGGTTTATGTGAGCTAATTGAAATGTTATTTTACTAGCAGCTAACTTATCTATATTGGTCTGAAGGAAAAATGGGAGGAATCAGGAACAAAAAAAGACAACAACTCCATAGCTTTCAAAATTATTTTTCTCATTTAGCTCTACAAAATAACATAGCTAGATCCATCAGTTCAAACCAAATCACCTATTTAAGTATTTAATGTTTTCTGTATCTAGGTTTTCTCTGAATCCAGTGAAAAACCCTTTGTTGCACAAAGGCTGACTAAGCCAGTGAGAAAGTCTAACCACACCCTCATGAATTTCAGTAATCTAACTTAAGTCATTCTGAGTACTCGCTTCAAGATCAAACGCTGCAGTGTTCTTCAGGATATAAATGTTTCAGCATCTAAGACATCTACTGGAAGGTCACAGGAGCACCGTCAGCAAGCTTCTACTTCAGGGAAAGTTTTGGTCATAGCTCTTGCCAGAGATCTGGGCTTACAGTTAATTTGTAAGCCGTTCTTTCGATCTCACACATTCTAGGAGAATATCACAGGGCGTGGGTTGGAAGGGACCTCAAGGATCAACTAGTTCCAACCCCTCTAGCATGTACAAAAATGCACCCACTTGAAGGATGAGACAGTAAATCTCCCAAATTAGAAGTACAACACAAGGAAAGAGAACACAGCAGGAGAAAGCTGGTTGTGAATTCAGATACAATCTTCCTCATTCATTCATGAGAACTCTACAAGCAGTTCCTTTTTTCTCTCAATCTTTGTTACTTTAATGCCCCATTTTAGATATATTTGAGTTTTTGTCAAGAAGAAGGTTGCTTGTATGTTAAGTACATACAGAGTAGAATTTTCAAGAGAGCAAGGTTCAAAGACTATAAATTTTGAAGATGAGCCTCAAAAAAAAATGTTGAGCTGGGGATTTCCATTGCAGCCCTTTAGCTTTACAGTACATTGCTTATCTGCAAATTAAGCTACGTTTGAAACAAACAGTCCTGATTTCAATGAACCGGTGACGAAACGAAACACCAGAAGTAACAGACAAGTACCACTGCAGTGAAACTACTCAATATTTTATACAGCACACATTAAAATACAAACTTTATCAGTAGAAAAGTTTATCATTTACTCTCAACAGTAGATCAGCACTATCTTATACAATTAAATATGAGAAAATCCAAAAGTTAGTGACCTGGTAATATCATTTTCCTGTCAATTTGATAATGCTGTCTAACAATTTCCTTCTGTGTATTTTCAAATCCAGATTATTTTAAAATTGTTCTGTAACCCAGTAAAGTTCTAACTGTTGAGCAGACCTCTCTTGTATCTGTTTCTTCCAGCAGAAAAGAGCACTCTTCTCATACATTGCTTCCTATTCTACTCTTTCTAATCAACCTGTTGCTCTTACATAATAAAGCACTGGGAAGAACACATTGTCTTTGTAACTTTAGAAGTTTGGCATCTATCCTTTATTTCACTGAGGTGAAAATCACTTCATTGCCTTTATCTTTACTTAGGCACTCAAATCCCTCCATACTTTGCACTCACACTTCCCACAGGGACCAGCTTGTCACATACTAACAGGACCTCAGTTAGCCAAAGTCAGCATTGAAACTGCATTCAGAACTGTTATTTGCAACTGCTAACTGACCAAAATCCTTGAGTATGACCATAATCACACATATCCTTTCTACACAAAGATGACGAATACATCTGTCCTCACTCACACTGCCTCCCAGATGCTTTGTCTCACCAGATCACCCACACCTACAGGAACAGTCCATCCTAGGGCCCACATCCGCAGGGCTGACCTCGCACAAGTTTTGGCTTTCTACTACAGACAGTCCCTGCAAGTCAATGAATCTCCAAACACCCCCAGTGCCCCCACACAGCACTCACACTGCTATGCTACAAACTCATGGCTTCGGTGGACTGCCATGCAACTCCCTTGAGATACTGTGAACTACAACACCAATTAGCTCTATATTAGGGCCACAGACACATCGTGGTAGCCAGATGAAACTCAGATTACATTAGGTGATATATGGCCAGTCTGTTTTATAAGAGACTTGCCAATTATCCTATCAGAATGACAGGAATTTGTCCCTGGTTGGCTGTTATCACCAGTAAAAACAGCTGTAGCCTCAAGGATTATGTTTAAAACTTAAGCATGACAATAGACTCAGGACTGCTTGTGCATACAACTTCACATACAGAAAATGGATAACTGAGTATTTGGCTTGCAAAGAAATAGGAGCATTTGTACCATAGGAGAGCAGTCATGAGTAAGACAGCATGAATGAAACAAGGAAAAAAAAATCAAAGGGTTAAGAACATGGTGTAAAAACATTCTAAACTGTTACACGCACACACACAAGAAGAAGTCTAAAGATTGGGTGAAATAAGTTGAAGAAACTAATTTTTCACTTATTGGGTGAAAGAAGTTAAAGAAATATAAAATCTATCCTTTACTTCTACACATCAGATCATAATCCTTACCGTGTACTTACTCATTTAAAATGTTGTGAAACATTTATATAGGTTAGATGTTTTAAAGCAGTAAAACTAATAACATTGATAGATTTTAGGTAAGTACAATTTAGAATGAGAAAGTATGCATTGCAATTAAAAATAAGCAAAAAAAAAGTTCAAATTCTTAAGAAATCAAAACACAAAAATTTCATTTTTATTTTATAATCAGAATGGCCAAATGGTTTTAGAAAAAATGTATTCCATATATTCATCAAAAGGTAGAACATTCTTATCTTCTTAACATAACCTTAAAAAAATAACACTAAAACGGGACAATACACAGTTTTTTTCCTAAAACTAATACTACACACACACACGTATATAATTCAGCTTCCTTTTACTTCACAACACTGTAGGAAAATATTTAGCGCAACACATTTTGAGGACCTGGAAAAATATTTGCTTTACGACATAAAATACATTTAATGTATTTAAGTACTGGTTTATGCTATTCAATACTGCAGAGATCTAGCATTCACCCTCATGTCATTTCTTCTTTCAGAATTAAGGAGTGATGAGGAGCCCTTGGAAGAGGAGAAACTACCCTGGTGGTTGATGAGGGCAGTGATTCATCTTTCTGTCATATCTATCTTATTTCTGGCAGTGCTCAACCCCAGATGATTCTGACACAGTAATAACAGAAAAAAAAAAAAAAACCCACACATCCTGGAAATACACCAAAGATAACCGATCAATTTTTCATTCTTCAAAGATAAATCCACACAAATACATTTTCTAAAGCAAGTAGTCCAGCCCAGACTGTATTAATATTTTTTCCAGCAATGTGTTCATTTTATACAAACTAGTTCAATATATTACAACAGTCAAAACAGAATTTATGTTTGTTCTCATCTTTAATATGTTGCAAAGTTGCAGCCTTCCTCCATGGAAATAAATTATACAGTATTCATTTCAATTCTTAGATGGCTAACCAGAATTAAATGTTTCAATAAGTTATACAGAACAGTCTGTTCTTGCATCAGAAGTTTAAATTCCATTTCCCCACACTCCTGCTACTCAATAAATCTAGCTAACTGCTACCAAGGTACACAGACCTCAACCACATAACAGATCAAGAAGAATCAGAATAGAAAAGGGAAATCAGCCATTACCTTGTGCATATAGCTGTACAGACCTCCTCTCTAATTTTTTTTTTTTATCTTCTTTCTTTTGTTTTGTTAGTGGGAGATAGGGATTTGTAACACGCTCCCTTCCACATTGTAATCTTGACAAGAGTCTGCTGCTAAGCTCCACAGTCACAGCGCTGTGCAGAAGCACGCACAAAAAGCCCTTTCCAGCAACCAATGGCTTTGTCCTCGACCTCCCATGCTTCTGTGTGATCAGCACAGGCTTTGTGGCCATACAAAGGAGGTTAAACATTTCCCTGTATTTATTTAAAAGCAGAGCTAAATCTGCTTAGCTGCATGAGCCTTTCAGTAAAATGATTCTCACTGTATCGGGCATTTTTTCTGTTAAGAGTAATTAGCTTCTTCTATCTATGAAAATAAATACATATATATTTATAAAAAACTGACAACAATTTTGATCTAGATCGCACCTTATGCAGAATTTCCTCCTAAATAACTGCTTGGGAATTCCCATATTCCATTTCTCTTGTCCATCCTTTGGACTAGATAGCTTGCCAATAGGCAGCCCTCTGCTGTCCACTGATATCAACCAATATACGGTGACAGGTGAAATTCTGTGAGAAAGAAAGCATACACGTACCAGGAAATAAAGGAAAATGTGTTAGGAGGAGGCCACCAACTTTACACATCACACCAAACTCCGGACCACCTCTGCTTTCCAAGGAACCACCCTGGAGCAATGCTGGTTATAGAACAGTGCCTTTAATCAACTGCTAAGGAAAGAAACTTTTAAAAAGTTCTAAGTCTAGTTAAAATGTAAAATGTTTCTAACTTCAAGAGAGTTGCAGCTTTTCTAGGGAGCAGCCTTGGAATCCTGTCAGCATTTATTAGCACCAGCATTAGCTCCGAACAATAACTTCATCTGCTCCTTTGAAACCTACTCTGATTTCAGGTCTTGCCTAGAACAATGCTTTCCTTCACAAAAGCACAGTCTCTACAGAAGAATCTACTTCAAAGCAAGTTGCCAGTAAGGTTTGTAACAGCTACAACCACCTGAACACCTAAACATAATGAAATAAAAACAGAGTGTCTTAATTGAGTTCCCACTTCAGGCACGTCCCATGCTTCTGGAGATATAAAGAACTCCGCTGAGAAGGCAAAATCTTGGAAAAACAGAAGTTACAGTTACAGGCAATTTGGTTTTGATGGGAAGGTTTGTCATCAGTTAATACAGTGCTCATTAAGCAACACCATTCAAAGTTATTTAAGAGTAAT